CTGTAATGAATGAAACTATGTAAAGAATGCCTACGGCACAAAATGTGGAACAAGGAGCTGACGGGTAGAAACTATAGTAAAAAACCAAACTTTCAACATTTCATGCAGAGCATTATTCTAAATATCTATATTGTTTGCCTTAAATTAAATTAAAACCATAGTAGCTGTGATAAATTCTGTGGTTGAAGGAAAGCACATTCATGCCATTCTTAGGTGTTCACAGAGAAGAATCTTTAGGCAAAACACGCTGATCCTGTTGATTTATCCTTACAGACTAAATTCTAAGGATTGAACATGAATCTACAAAAAAAAAAAAAAAACTTCATGCTACAGCCACGTGTTCTGGATTTCCGTTCCACATTGCAAAAATGCTAACAGATAACATAAGGTAAAACATGGTCAATCAGCCAAAACGTACATTTTCAATTTTTCATCTCAAATATTCAACCAAGCTGTGTATAATTTGATGTGTGCCAGACTGCAGTCATGTAGGCAGCATATTATCCTACTCCTAAATACGTTTCTACCCGTTTCTCAATTCTGTGACGAGACATCAAGGTAGAGTAAGTTCACACAACATTTCCCTACCCAGTTACCCTTGAACTATATCAATATCATATCATAAGCAAATACAAAATCCAAATATACAACTACCTGAAGATAAAAAGAAAAAAAAACCTGAGGTCGGTAATAGCTGTTGCTATCCTAACGGAGCTTCTCTGCTCTTCTCCATTGAGACTGCACTCTGGTGACTCCCCATATACCAGCCGTCATGCTATGTGAACACAGACTAAGAAGAGACAGATTTGAGGTCAAAACCGAATCCTGGTCTCCCTATCACTTCATCTGTACAGAGAGTGAACAAGGTGTTTTGAAACATGGATAGTGTGACCAACTTCATTTTCAAAAATAACTGTAAGATAAAGAGGCAGCCTGCACTTACAGCTAGCAGTTTTGCCTTTTGCATTTCTAACATGTAGGCAGTAGGAGAAGTGTAGAAGGAAATGTACTGAACCCTATGCTGCATGAATAAAGTATCAATCAATACATAATTTTCAGCAATAACTCCTTTAAACAATGCATGGCTTAAAATTCGAAAGATGGTGAGTGCAATAAATGCATCAAAATCTTTCTTTTTTTTTTTACAAAACAATGGCCTTGACCTTTGACCTGAATATCCATGGGGCATATTAGGCTAGTTATGACCAATGTCTGTACCGAGTATCAGGACCTCAGAACAAAAAGATAAAACTAATTCAAATTTGGTAACAGATGATCTAACCCACTGGATGATTTCATAATATCCCACCGTTCATCGTTTGCGGGGGTACGGTTTTTTCTCTCTGATATATCATTTCAAATTAAACTTAAACCTTATGTATATATCAGAGAATCATAATAAATTATCAGAGACAATTTTTCACGATGCTCAATAATAAATTCCATCTTCTCAAATAAAAGACAATATCCTTAGAGTGCAATTATAAGTAGAGACAGGAGTGTGAGTTATTGGTAGGTAATTATCTGGTCAATAACCCTGCTCAGGACACTTATGTTCTGAGTGCTATTTATTTTCCAACGCCCAGTTATGCTAACATGTTATCGAACAAACATTATGTTCTGGATACTCTATTCAAAGTGAAATAGATACGAGTTTGATTTATGAGACCCCACATAAATCATGTTTTGCACTAGAAATGATTATTGGCCAATGTGCAATTAAGGATTGTTTATGATGTGGAAATAACTATTGTTTCTTATGTACAAATAATTACTTTTGTGGCAGTGTAATATCATCTGCTTTGTTCACAAAACAAATTACAAGTAATTAGACCCGGATGAGAATCTGAAAACAACAGGGCTTATTAAAATTAAAAATGTTTCTGTTCTTACATCTATCTTTCATAATGTCATTCCAGATCCAAATATATGATATGTTATTACATCTTACCTAGAACTAACCTTTGTGACAAGCCTAAAATATTTAATTTTATTAATGACACAAATCTATTTCAACACAATGGCATGCTGTCTCACCTGTAGCACTCATCTCAAACATCACAATGTATTTTACTTTCATATTTTTCAGTTCACAAAAATATACATTTTGAAGAACCATCTAATTATCATAAATCACCCTTAAGAAAAAAAATGATACAATTTCAAAAAAAGTCCAGACAAATATAGAAGAAAGGATTTCTTTTCCTCTGGAAAAGGGGGGGGGGAGAGAGAGAGAGAGAGAGGTACTGGTCCTCAAACTGTAGAACATTTCAACCCATCTGGGCTTACACACATAACACTGATTGCCATAAGGATTCTTTGAATATTAATTGACTTAATTTAAACTTCAGAAACTGCTGTTTAGATGCATCCACATTTGTCACCCTGCCCGTGGCTAGTTGTACTGGAAACTTCCCTCAGGTATAATAATGAAAATTGCATACCTGGGGCTTGCAGAGGGTGCATCCTGAAAATAAAACTAAAACTGCCTTAGCTAATACTGAATGAACGTTGCCTTTGATTTTATATAGACTTGTATTGTCTATCACTATCACTAGTATATAACCTTTGACTACAAAAAGATGAACTGTTTGCATTTGTCCTTACCACTTACAATGGTATCATTTTGGTTAGAAAATCAACATGAGATATTTTTAAATAAGGAAATCAAATAAGAACTATGCATCATTTCGTTTAGAACTAATAGTAAGGTAAATATACTTAAGTAAAAAAAATAACACTCAAGGTTCAGCTTGAGATGTTTACATATAGCAAAAACCAAGACCCACATTCTGGCATGCTGAATATTTTGTTTATGTGTCATTCTCCACATATATCTATTCTATCTATCTTTAACCCAAGATTTCACACATTTGCACAAGCCCCTTTCCTGGTATTCTAGTCAACACAGAATACTTCTATTAAAATTCTTTAACCTTTCTTAAAAGAGTATAGCGACTCTGAATAAGGACAGAGAGCATGGTAAAGGCATGAGCCTCATACATACTGTGGCATACAGTATATATCATAATAAAGTTAGTTCTAGTGCCATTTAAAAAACCTATGGAGAGACAATAAAGAGACAAGACATATGTGACAAAAGGGTCTACCATTTAATATCGACAGAATAAGCAACTGGTAACATGTTTGCTTAATTAAATGCATCAGTTGTCTCATATCATAAACATGAAGACAACAAACTTTTAGAAAGGAGACTTGATACGGCACAGGTTGATTGAGGAGACTCATCAATATGCAATATTCAATGTATATCTGTCTTAATGGCAGTAACGAAATATGCATCACCGTTACATCAACCTAATATAAAATGCACAAATTACCAAGATATTTTGTAACATCTATTTCTTTCGGGATTTCAACACACTTATACATGCAGCATGGATGGTAAACAATTTTCGGCTACCTCTTAGTATTGACTGTAAACTGGTTGCCCAGGCACTCCCTTCCACCATGCCTTCCCCCGGCTAAGACTCAAATGAGGACAAACAAATTAATAAGTAGCTGACAGTCAAATTCAAAGGATTTCCACAAGTTACACTATTTCTCCGAATTGCCAAATGTGATACCAAAACCATTTACCAAAAGCACAGTTATAACTTCGTAACTTGGACGATGTTACCTCAGCTTTTTGCGATACCTGGTGAAGCGCTTCTTTGTTTTCAGGTAAACGTTACTGAAATGAACAATCAGACCCGAGTTGTACCTTTCGTTTGTACAGAAACTGGGTCATAAAGCCGCTCATACAGGGGCTGCTAGCACAGATCACGCACCACATAGAAAGAAAAAACTTACACTTGTGAATAAAAAATCACCTAACCATTATATATCTTACTTAGAATTTTGTTCTTACCGGGCATGCTATGGTTAAAATCAGCACGAATACACTGGCACAGCAGCGGCCGCATCCCAACAGGACTCCATGTTGGATTATAATCTGTGATCACGTGCTCTCCAAGTTTCACGTTTATTGGCTACCAGTGGTTTAACCAAACAAGCGGTAAAACATCAAAGAAAAGATAACAAAAGGCAGTAATATAGCTGGAAATTAGCATAGTATGTGGAATGTAATATTTATAAAAGAATAAAAAATCTCATTTTGCTAAAAACCGCCGTAGACCTTGTTTAGATTTACACAACTGGTATATAATATGTGTTTATTAGAAATTCACCCATTCATTGACAACGTCAAATAAAAGTAGCAGTAGGTTTCATGTTATAGTTCAGTTGACTGCCACTTTTTGTACGGTATTTTGTCAAAGATTATAGTTACATTTAGTAATTCTTTATCCTTCTTTGTTGGGATCTACAATGTAATGGAACCAATTAAACATCAAAGACTTTTGATAAAATAGTTAAATTAATGCTTCAAATATGCATCACCAATTACTTAAGACGAATAAAACGTTTTATTCATCCAAGCTCAGTGGCGGATTTAGAAGGGGTATCAAGGGGTCCTGCACCCCCCCCCCTTCGATTTCTGAAAAAAAATCACACTAATGTTCCCCTCTTGAAATTATAATTTTGAATAGTTGAATCATAGTTCTAAACCGTACCAAATGGCACCGTTCGCCCTCTTAAATACCAAAATTTTTCGGGGCCCTTCAGTGGGCCCCGAACCCCACGCCCGGGGGGGGGGGTAATCGGCTTTGCATTCGCGGACCCCCTTCAAGCTACCAGCTATATTTTCTACTAACACTTGATCAAAAAGGCGGATGAAGAGACGTGGGGTGGAGCCGCATTTTTTTTTCTTATTTCTAAAAATTAATTCTCATATATTTGAGCATTGAAATCTTTAGTGATGTTTTCCTACAATACTTGCTTCGCCTTAAAACAATTTGATTTAACTTTATTTCATGTCTGAATTTTAAATCGTGGACACAAACACACATGCATAAACACACATTCATTCGTATCGCCCGCGTGCCCTCTCGGCATTCTGTCAGTCAGTTCAAATTCACCACAAGGTGTCAGCACTATATTGATAACAAGGTGAATGTCGCATGCTGTAAACAACCTGGCGATGCGTTAAATTTCTCTCGCAAAAAAAAAAGCCCATTTTCATTTCTTTGAGAAACACATCCAGGAAGATTGATAAATATATCCTCTCCAAAGCATGTCGGCTACACAGAAGAACAATTTTAAGGAGAGGAGAGACTTAGGTACGTGTCAAACGTAGATAACATAGGAAGATGCCAGGTGGAATGGCTGACGAGGAAGTGGTTTTTACACTGTAAAAAATAAACCAGATTATATTTAAAGGATTGTTCATGATATTTATTTCGCTAAATGATTTGATAATGTACATGGGGGTTTAGCCTGTGTGTCAGTTGTTGTTTTTAGCTGTATATAGCCAAGTTTTAAATCGGACATGAGCATGTACCAGTACGCTGTACGATATAAGTAAAATAAAAATGTTATGATGAAATAAATAATTTCTTGTGGAGCATTTCCTGATATCTTATTTCTCAAAACCCAAAGGCTGTTATTGACACATGTGGCAAATGTGAATCATATATTTTATTAAATGAAGCCTTCTTTTTATTCAGATGTCAGAAAAAGAGATGTGGAAGAGGTGAAGGAAAAGTATCCTGACAAAATCCCAGTATGTATACTGTATAACAGGATTTCTTCTTTAGTTTGGTTCAGTCATATGCTAATTCACTGAATGAAACAATTAGTTCTGTCCTAACAGTAATTGAGAGTGACAGACTGTTGTGTTCACCTTTTTTAATTTGTTTATTTTTTTCACAATATCTTCAAAAATACATTTCACTTTTTATGTTTGTATAGTTATTATAGTTTCAACATCACAGGCATATCCTAATTAAGTGTTATCGATAAGTATTTTGCAATTATGGCAATGCTAAATAGCTTCAAGCAACCAAAAGTTACTAGTAGTTATCTTTTCCTCCTCAGCAAACACATTAATATTGGATGATTAATTCACACAGTATGTCCCCTTCCTATACCAGACAAAATAGAATTGGGAAAATTTTAATTTATTTGTACAGTTTTCTACTTATTATCTTTAGGTAATCATTGAAAAGTATGCGGGCGAGAAAAACCTTCCAAATTTGGACAAGTGCAAGTTCTTAGTGCCTGACAATGTCAATATGAGTGAATTGGTGAAGATAATCAGGTATATGTTTGTTATAGGAATTTTTAATGTCAAAACTATAAGAAAAATTGTTAAATGTTTTAAAAATCAAAATAGATAATGTTTGAAATTTAAACCAATTAGTTGATTTAAACATAAAAAGTAGTTAAATTAAAAAATTTAAAGATGTTTTTTCTTTTAATGGTTACCAATTGTTTCTTCCCAATAATAAGGAGGAGGCTCCAGCTTCATCCAAACCAAGCATTCTTCCTACTGGTGAACAATAAGAGTATGGTGAGCAACACAACCCCCATCTTTGAGGTGTACAATACACACAAGGATGAGGATGGATTTCTTTATGTAACATATGCTTCACAAGAGACATTTGGTTAAAGACTGATGTTTTATAAACTATTTCATTGTTTTTATAATAATAAGTCAAAATGGTAAAAAAAAGAGTATTAGATAGAGTACAAATACCATGTGTTGAATAAAATTACTATGGAACTGTTTAGTACTCTGACATTATCACTGTATGTTTTATGAATATTTACTCTTTTACCAACAGCCATATTTGTTGTACGAGTATTCTTATCTGCTGATATTGGATAGACCAACAGATTATTGAAGATCTGGTGAATGTGAAAATATAAATTAGTTATCACACTTGTATTATTATTAACATAAATAAGTAAACACTTATTTATTATTTTTTCTTTTTACTATTTTTATTGTAATCTTTTATTTGCAAGGAGGGCTTTTACAGTTTGTGAGAGGGTTGAAGATGATGTCATTTACTGTTGACATTTTGAGAGCATTATGCAGCAAATATTTTGTTCCTTATAATCCACATCTTAGCTAGCTGCAGAAGCAGGGCCATAGCCACTGATTTCAAAGGGGAGTTCTTTTTCTGAAAAAGTGGACATTTTACCATGAAACCTTTATGTACCTAGATCAGTTTTTGCCCAGAGGAGACCTTTTCCTGGCGAAAAAAGGGGTTTATTCAAGACCCCCCTCTCCTTCCCTGGTGCCTGAGTAGATAACTTGTATATATTAATGTATATAAATAGTGTTGATAATTCATGTAATTTATTAGGGTATTAAATGGAATGTTAAGTATACATTGTAATGTGGTATTCTGAGGCATAAAACAATAAACAGCTGTAATACCTAACAAAATTATTTTCCCTTTTTTTTTTTACTTTCCTGGGAACTTAAAATCAATACTGTGTCGTAGTTGTCCTAGCAACAAATGAAGAAAGTATCAGTAAATGAAACAGTGACAGTCACATTTTTTATCAATCAGTAATCACTGAAGTTATTTGTGGTGATAAGCAGTCTAAATATGCCACTGGTTCATTTATTGTCACGTAAATGGTATAGAAAGGGACTGCAATTATCCTTCACCTACGTGATTCTTATCAGTGTTTTTCAGATGTCTTGTTTCATTGGCAAAGTAACTGGCAACCAACATTTTGCTTGCATTGTTCTTTGCACAAAATCGAAAAGGAAAATGTCACTTAATGCAAGTATTTAACTTGGATGTATTTTTTTTTCAGACTTTCATCTTATAATTTTGTAAACAAAGTAGAAAATCAAAATTTAGATTCTAGTCTTTTCAGTTAGCACACTGTCGCAGCTGATGTACTACTGAGTATATAAATCTCATTCAACTATTATAATCATACACTTGAGCATACATTTAATGTGAAATTTATTGGAATGTAAATTTAACTTGAGAAAACTTTAAGGCTTGGTGGAAAATTATTCCAATAGAGGGATTCTGATCAATTTTTTTCCATAATATCCAATGAAAATTTTACCTCGACCATTCATACAAAACGGTGTTTAAACATATTTTCCTGATCATCTCAAAAAGATATATTTATGGTCATGGTAATAATTTATTGATCCATTTATGATCCTTTGCCACAATCAGTTTACATGGATGATTTCAAAGATTCTACAAATAAAATTGACAAAATGATATTGAAATATATATATTAATATAAATACCAGAACATGTTCAATACGGATAGGATTTCTCCCTCTATTATAAACTTGTACAAAAAACAAAACTCCTGTATGCGTATATGTAGAAACAATGAATAAAATAAAATTACTATATATTTCTGCATGTGCACTTGAAAGAAATTTCAAATCTTGTATGCTTTTCTGCAGGATTGGTAAAATTTCTACTGGTATACAAATGTTAGCAGGAGTTATCACATGGTACAATATCAATTCAGCTGAAAAACACTTGGTTCTGACAATGGTCTTGTATGTGATACAATGTTGCCTTTGCCAGTTGCAAATCATATCAGATAAATTCAGTGAATCAAAGTCTTCTTTTTCTCATTTAGTTTCTTGTAACTTGGAAGGGCACCCCACATTTGATCTCTCTGTTTCTTCCCTTCTGCAGTGTCAGAATAATCCAAAGTATCAGCGTTCCACATTCCAACCCCTCTTAGACCAAGGCTCTGGGCATATTTGTACTTGTATGTCAGGCTCTCAGGATCATCATACCAGAATTGGGACCATTTTTTGGTAGCAGGATCCTTAAACAAGGATGTAAAATGCAAAGTAATTAAGTGGTGGACAAAATTGAAATGTTTCAAAATTTTAAGTTAAATATTTTTTCTTACATCATTCAACAAAGATTATATTTATTCACATTTATATTAAAGACTGACTTAATGTTCTGATGATTAAACTAATTATGATGTACATGTACCAATATACATATACAAAACTAGACTTCTGTCTTTTTTTTTTGAATGAAAGCCATGTTTTGTTAGATCTTAATTACAGAATCTCAGTTTTCATGACAGTTTCCTTTCATCAAATCAAGAAGTCTCTTCAAACATGCAGGGATCTAGATCAATTTGGTAACTGCATGTATAATAATTACTTATAATTATCTCTGTTCATAAAAGGGCAAAAACCTTGTCATACCAATCTAGCTCACTTTTATAAGCTTCTTGAATATTAAATTATATGAACTAAAGTGTGCTTATATGATTGCTCATTGTACCTGATAATCGAAAAATGGAGACTTTGCAATGTCATCCCACTGTCTTCCTGATTTTGAAGCTGGAAGATAATTTTCTATGATCTCCTTGTAATTAATCTGGGACCCAGCTGCATCACTGCAGTTCACCCCTCGAAAAGGCACATGTTTGATATAACAGGTGGTTCGATTACTCTGAAAATATTAAGAACGATATAAAATTTAAAGGACATAGTCACTACAATGATAGGAAAAGGGGTAGTAAGAGTTCACCTGATGCAATGGAGTATTTAAAATATGTATTACTTAATCTGGCACAAATTTTATATTTTACCATAAAAAAACATTTTAAGCAAACTAAATTCCTAGTATCTGTTTTCAGTGCATTGCTTGCCTTTTATGTACATGTACTAAGTAAACAGACATGCTGAAACTGTCAGTCCAATCTGTCATGACCGGCAAAATTTGTTTGGACCGGTAAAAAATTGGACTTGGTAGGTCCAAAGGACCGACAGGAGTTTTAAGAACCGCAATTTTGAATTTACAGTCATCATTCGACATACTTCACTAATAAAATTATATAAAACCCAAAGCATTTTTACCCTTCCATTTCAAACCGATCACATTCACAAAGTAAACTACCTAATCGTAGTGTCCGTCTCAATTGAATAGGGCGATTTTGGGTCTGGCAAAAATCCATTTGGTTCGGCAAATTTTTCATTATTGCCGGTCCAAATGTCCGGCCATTCTGAAACCTTTTCAGCATGTCTGAGAAAAGTAAAAATCTTCACCTTCCAATATGAAAGATTATGCCTGGATTATTAGTTGCATTATGACAGTTTTATATAAAATTATTCATTTCTTACTTTAGTATTTGCTTATTTATTTTAGTAGATCTTTAACTTAACAATTTTATGCACAGGGCCTAAGGTCACTTAGATTTAACAAGAATATGTGCACACCCTAATTACCTTTTGTGACCTTTTGACACAAGGGTACTTATAACCATACCATGGTACCCCTAATACCAGTTTACTTGGGTCAATACCCAAGTCTAAGAACCTTTTTAATCCTGAAAGTGTATATAAAATCCATATAAAGGTATTGTTTAATACTCAAGTCTTTTGAAAGTTGTTCTGATGTTGTTGGATTACAGTAAATTTGTTGACAGCTAGCGTAAGAACACCGACAATTTCTTCAATTTTATCAACAATGTCTGACATGACACATGGCAAGCATATGATCATTGCAAACACATGAAAACAATATTGCTTTAGGATCAAGAAAAAATGAATACAACAGCATCATTTACCGCTACTTGTCTTTTGTAAACCTGAATTTGGTCCAGCCACACAATCAGGTCCAAATATTTGACTTTGTTCATCATATGCCATGACAAAGAGGAAGTCAGTGAGATTGGCCATAGGAACTGTGTCATAACATCTTCCATCAATGCAGTCAGGGGACCATGCTATGTCAAAAGTGACCTAAAGAAAGAAGAACAATAAAATTTATCCTCTGAGACATCTCTGGTGATTTAAAGAAAAAGACCAACAACTTATTGGACTCAAGGTGCCAACACATACAGGTAAACATTATTTAAGAATTTTTTATGCAAGGAGTCATCCTAAAGCCAAGCAATTTTTAAAGAGTTCTCAAAATCTTTGAAAGGCACCCTAGAACTGATATATTTTCCATATATATACAAACTTCAAAAAGTTAAAACATCTGAAAATTTAGATAGACACTATTAATATCTTCAAGACACATACACACACAGACACACACACACACACACACACTTACCTACAAAAAGTGTATTTAAAGGGAACAAGCAAAGATTTTGAACATGTTCTAAGAGCATAAATCCCTTATTGTTGAATTTACCTAAACTTTTAAAACATAAATTGACAGATAGATGCCTTTAATCAATTCCAGAAACTTAAGTAACCATGTTTACCGTGTCCTATTCAACCTCGGTAGTCAGATGTTTTGATTTTTCCAAAATTGTTACATAGTCATGGTATCAGGAAAGGAAGATTTAAGGATGGTAAGTCGGGAGAAAATGCCCTTTACCCCAGGAAAATTCAATAATTATGAGTTTTGGTGGCAAAATCCTGGCTCGTGTCCTTTTAATGTTAGTTTATCATCTTAAGCAATTCAAAACAGGGTAAAAAGGCAAAAGTCCATTTAAACCACCAGCACTGTGCTCTTGCAATAGTAAACTAAAACAAATCACCTGATAGCTACTATTGGCTTCTTTGAATAAAACATAGCTGAGTCCAACTACAATCCTCAGACCAAACCGCACTGTCGTATTGTCTTTGGGGATAGGATCCTCAAAATCTATGTTTATGCCATCCAAAAAGTGGTCATGTACATACTCCCATTCCTGAGACACCCATTTGGAAATATCATGCTCTTCAGTTAAATTTTGGAGTGGAAAATTTGCTAATAAGAAAACAAATGAAAACCATAAAATTATAAGGTACACATAACCACTATGGTTCAATTCTATGCATGCAAAGATCAGAGCAAGAACACTCAAGATCAAAATCTGACATTAATGACAAAAACATTGAAATCTACAAGTTTTTTAGAAAAAAAGCATGGCAACATTCACACATTTCTCAACACCTAAGCCAATGTACTAGTACACTCCCGTGTATCTACATGTAGTCTAATAAACTTTCAAAAATATGGTTGTTACTCACAGATTTTCACTGCTCTTGCATTATTCTTATGTGCATGGCACATCAGCTGTGCATCATAAAAACCAACCATGACGACAGTTGTTATTTTGCTCCAGTCATAAAGCTTCCAGTTATGTGATGACAAGGCAAAGATAAATACCTGAAACAATAGAAGGACAATGGTAAGGCATATGGGCTCTAACGTTTGATTTGATCAGGTACCTCAACTATAAGGACTGAATTGTTGTTTATACCAACATGCGATTCAATTAATCAGGTAAGTAAATCAATTTGCCATTGTCATTTTAAGAAAACAGTTCAATTGGCTCCACAGTGTATTTATTGTAAAGTGAAAAGAACTTCATAAAGTAATCGGTTATTCGTAGACAGCAAAAGAGTGTTGATCAGACAGTTATCTTACATACAGTGAGAAAAAATATGGTTCTGTACCTCTTTTCTGTTTGGATCAGGTCCAATTGGAGCCTGACATAAAGATTCGTCTGCACAAGGACATTTCGGTGGTTGTTTCACGGAACCAACGTTTTGTGACAATATTAATGAGCTACATACGACCAGCGTTGCCCAAAACTTAGCAAAACACATCTTCATCGCTTGCGCCTGAAGTTCAATTCTCAAATATGCTGTAAATCTCGAAAATCAGCATTAATATCAATAAAATAAATACACTGGCCTCAACAGGGTGCAGACATTTTGGACAGATTTGATCATGTGACCACACGGGAAGTGGTGAGATATCTTCTGTGTTAAGACTTAAGTGCATAATCTTTATGGTGCAATTGATTGAAAATAAGTCAAAACAGTCGAGGAATAAAACACTGCAAGTAACTTTTCTCTTTTGTGTAAGAAAAAAACAAGAATAAAATAGTAATCAGTTCGAGATTTGACGATGTTTCACGAGATGTAAAAAATCCGGAAATCGATCCTCTGAAAATGGCGATGAGCAAAAGCTTTCGAGTTTATCATAAGTTGGAACCACCCTACAGCGTTCTGTTAGAGTGTAGGAACAAAGAAGATACTTTGATGTTTGAGTCAAATGCAGTGGCAGTCTTAAGTAAGTTACTGGGTCCTTTAGAACGTAGGGTTTTCATTTGACTTTAGTCAAGCATCAAATTTCCTTTACTACTGTAGGTTTGCTTTGCCTTTACTTTACAGTACTTAGGGCTTCAGGCACCAGTGCTTCCACTCTACATAAATCCATGGCTTATATCCACTCCAATTGGTATTTCTCTCTTGGGGGAGGGGGGAGGGGGTCTGGATTAATCCTTAGTGTAGTGCACATGGTTTTAGCCAAGATTTTGAAACTGTCTGGCTAAATTTACTTCAGCAATAAAAAAGTGTGTGTGTGTATAATATGTGTGTGTGAGCGCACGCGCATACTAGTCTTTTGATAACATGCACACTCATCTATAGTATGAAATAGTGAGGCTCCAAAAATACACATCACATTTTAGTACAGTACAGGGGAACATGCATGCCCAAGATACAATTGCCAAACAGGAGTAAGATCAATAGTGTTTACAAATTTTCATTTCTGCTCTAACAGACTATCCAAATTACTGCTGGGTGGCTCACTGGCTAAACCCTTGGTAGTATAACAAGTTGATAATATAATAAGTTTATAATAGACAATTCTGATTCGTGTCGACTCAATGATGAAATTCATCACTGAGTTGACAGGAATTATTTGACGGAGATGAAGCTAAAAATTTGACTAGGCTATGTTCCATGGATTTCACTTGCAAATATGTTTCAATCATGCATGTTTTACATAATGACAGGATAAAAATAGTTTTTGTATTGTACTTGAAGTTCAACAAGAAACCCTGAAGGCAGAAAGAGCTGTATACAAGTAAATGCATATAATAAATGTCATAGTTATAAGCAGTACCTGTAGCAGAGCCCTAAAATTTAGCGTTGCAAGTTTCCCGTGAAGTCTTGTTTTCCTTGTAATATTTTAATATTATCCAATAAATGTCTAATGAGATGAAAAATTGGGTGAATCAAATAAAGGTCTGTCCTTGCTAAATTTAACATCATTTAAGCATTTTGTAATAGAAACAACAAGAATATTAAAAAATGTCTTTCTAAAAATGTATCCTGATACTATTTTCCTTTCAACTTTGATATGCACATATCATACTGCTTTCCTTACTTTTTCTTGCAACCTTGTTTGAAATTTTTGATTAACTGACTCTGCTTATCATATAGGTCTTCTATGATAAATTAAGGAAGTAATTTTTCATCCTGAATTTGGTACAGTTAAAAAAACACGAGCTAATGTTTTGAATGTAAATAGCACAAGTGGCTATTTGACTAAAACATGACTGAATTCAACAGATGGTCATAAGTACATACCAGAGATAGTATTTTATTCTTAAAAATGCATTTGGGGTCAAATTTTTGTGGAAGGACCCGACCAAAAACCACCATGTAGTTTCAAGGAGATAACTTGGAGAAATACCAAAGGATAGTGTTTCATATTAACCCATAAATGAAATTTGAATGGATATTTTCTGCTCATTTTAATCAAAGCAATATTGCAATTGCACTGATCTTAGTAGAAGAAATGGGTGTAGGATTGACATAATTGGACTCATGTGAGTATTAGCTCTGATTTAACTTAGCGATTGCTTGATTTATTCTTGTTATATTGCCTATAATGAGAACTTATTGAATGGTCTGTGATAAATATTAATTCATTGAATATGTTCTGTTCATTATTCTGTAGGTGATGTAGAGACAGAGACAATAAAAAAGCAATATACAAAGATTGTGGATGCCTATGGTTGTCTAGGTGTACTTACTCTGAGTATAGGTAAGTGTGTCTTTCAGAGTTTGTGCTCTCATTTTCATTTATTAATTATATAAGCCATACAGTATATTACACATACATACATACACATATTGAATGCTGTCTACTTGTGAAATTTGTTTACAGCAAGATGGGTGTAAAAATAGCTGTAATGAAAAGTTCAATTCCTATGAGGCACGAAGGTGATATTTAAATATTCACTTAAAAATATAGATTTCATCACATGTAATTGAAAGAACCTTTAGATTCAGCATGATTTGTTTAACTAATTTTTAATCTTTTTTTTCTTCTTCATAATAGAATAGTCTTATAGGTAATAAAAATGGATCAAGGCAGGCATGTACTAATGCTGCATTTTCTTCAGTATTGATTTAACAGTAACATCCAGACAGTAATATGCCTCACGAATGCATACAGTTCTTTCAAATTGAAATTGATGATTTTCTCTGCTGGGCTTATATTGACTAGAGTTGCTGCCCTTGTCTGCCTCCATCTGCATTAGCGTTTTGCTCGAAATCAATAATTCTTCTCAGAAAGTCATCACCTACTGAATTTTACCCTTGAAAAAGTGGCAAATAATCTGTATGACTGGGCTTGAAGTGCTGTCTGATCAGATAATTTTATTATGGGGATTTATCTATGTATCTATGATTGAAAACACTTCAAACATCATTTGAAATAGATTTAAATTCCACAGTATGTAGAATATTTTATCTAGTTTGCTAATGTAATGTGGGGAAGAATAATTTGATTCCAAGTGCAAGGAAGCTGATTTTAGTGATAATTTGATAAGAGGAAGGTTTGTTTCCTGAGATAACCATGAAATGATTTAATAATGGGACAAACTTCAAACTGTAGGATAACCTAGTTTTTACTACTGAATCAATAAAGATTGCAAAAGAATTTCAATTTACATTGTAATATTATTGACAATCATCATTTTGGTATTTTTTCTTGATAGGCTCATGATTTACTTTATTTGCTGTCATTCATTTCAGTCCAGGATGGAGCTCTGGTAAATGTGCTGTACCTAGTTCTTGTAACAGGCTGTATATCAGTGGGGAAGATTCTGGACTCTGAGATTTTTAAGATAACTGCAGTTACTTTCATATCTCTGCGAAACCATCCCGATGACGAGGCCAGGGTGTCTGAAGTCAAGAAAATACTCAGTGCAGGAACCTTCTATTTCTCTTGGACATCTACCAATGGAGCCCCCTTTGACCTCAGCTTATGTGCTCAGAAGAAACACCAGGATCATGATACAGATAGCAGATTCTTTTGGTAAAGTGGAATATGTTTACACTTTTTTTAAGTACCAAGTTTTAGGCGTAGTCAGCTGTTGGGAAGTCACTGTAAGAAAGGGAGTGTGGTTAGCAAAAAAAAAAAAGTAATATCATCAATTTAATGCATATTCTATACTTATTTTACAGGAACAGATCTCTTCACTTCCACTTACAACGATTTAACATAGATTGTGATGAGTGGTTGTTGAAAGCCATGTGTGGCGGTGTAGAAATCAGGACAATCTATGCAGCACACAAGCAAGGAAAGGCCTGTCTCATCTCTAGGCTAAGCTGTGAAAGAGCCGGAACTCGCTTCAATGTTAGAGGAGTTAATGATGATGGTCATGTAGCTAACTTTGTGGAGATTGAACAGGTAAGTGGTAGTCCATTGTTTGATGACATATACGGTAGTTAATGATTATAAAGTGTGGGGATGCATTGGATACAATTGTCTTGTCAGTGTAGGAACATCAGTAACATTTGTGATCTTTATTGAAATAAAGTCATGTTGTGATTTACGTGGATATGTTAAGATCTTTATTTTTTAACCCTATATACTTAATAAAATAAAAAGGGATGCTTTGTATTACCACTGCACATATGTTATTTGCAACATATTTCTTGCAGTACTGCATTTTCTTTGGTATATCCATTTATCCATTTTATATTTCAGGTAATTTTTATGGATGAGCAAGTGAGCTCCTACGTACAGACAAGGGGTTCAGTGCCCCTATTCTGGGAGCAACCAGGTTTTCAGGTAAATGTCTACTCATGCCCTCTTCTTTTCTAAATCATAATTTAGAATAAAAGTAATGGAAAATATTGGTAAAATTATGCAAATATTACACATGTGACTTGCTTTTATTCTTTTAGTCATATTATTATTACTTGCTTTTATGCTTTTAGTCATATTTATTATTATTATTATTATTATTATTGAGGGAAAATTGGCAATTTCTAAGACAAAATATAAGAGTAGCTTATGTTATAATCAGGATAATGACAATGAGAGATGTTATTTGTATTCTTTCTGTAGGTTGGCTCTCATAAGGTGAGGATGTCCAGAGGTTATGAAGCTTCTGCTCCAGCATTTGAAAGACATTTTAAAACTTTGAAGGACCGTTATGGTGACCAGGTCATTATCAACCTGCTGGGGAGAAAGGAAGGAGAGCATACACTCAGCCAGGCTTTTATGGTGAGAGCATTTCAGTTATTGGGCAAATCTTGTTTGTTGCATTAAAAATAGAGATGTAGGAGTCAGTATGTGAATTTAACAGTAACCTATATTCGAAATAGAGATGGACCATGATATATAAGAACATTTACCTTCAAATCTGTTGAATGTCTTTGTTGGCAGAAATATATCTCTTGTTGGATTAATCTTTAATAATAATATTTTTAAAAATTCAACTTTTCTCTTTTAGAACCATCACAAAGCTTCCAGCTACAGCCAGGATATTCCCTATATATATTTTGACTTCCACATGGAATGCAGAGGGGGAAACACCAAAAACTTAGAGAAACTAAAGTCCAAATGTCAAAAGCAGCTTGATGAATTTGGGTTCTTTTATGCTGAAGGAAGTGATGTGCAGAGGTAGATTTTGTTGTTCTTTATTTATTTATTTAAAATCATTTTATTTTGTTTTTTAATTAATTAATAAGTTCATTTAGTGTTTGCGTGTATGTGGGTATTGTTTTTTTGATGTAAATGAACAGTTATTTTATCACTGTTATATGATTGTGAGAATTCAAATTTTGTAATCCTTTTGATCTGTACCATCTTATCTCAATTTGAGTTGCTTACGTATTTAAAAACAAATTATTTGATTTCTCTGATTACTGTTTCCTTTTGATATTATATTCCAGAGAGCAAAGTGGAGCCCTGAGAACAAACTGCCTGGATTGTTTGGATAGAACTAATTCCGTGCAGACATACTTTGGGTTAGAGGTAAGATTACTGGAAACCCTGAACAACTTAAAACAAATCAGGTCCCATTGCATTGTATGTTAAAATTATTTAGCTAGAAAATTAGAGAATCCATACACCAAACTTTATAGGGGTGAAAAAGGAGGGAAAACATACATTCCTAATTGTTTTATATCAGTTAATTGGAATTCTTTATTCATGTAAGCATATTTGTGTTTTTATATTTGTTAAGTGATATGTTGCAAACATCTTTTCCATCTAGATCTTGTCCAGGCAGCTTCAAGCAATGGGACTGGACAGTAAGCCACAGATGGTGACCAGGTTCCAGGAGGTTTATAAACAGATCTGGTCACTGAATGGAGACCATGTCAGCAGGATATATGCAGGCACTGGAGCATTGAGTGGAGGGAAAACTAAAGTAATGCCTGATTTGTTTATAAACATACCTTGTTACTGAATGTAAAGGTGCAACACACACTCATGCATGCACACTCACACGCATGCACACACACACACACAGCATGTTTCTTGTTGTATTGAGCCTTAATTTATATTCTTGAGATTAAATGAACACACAAAGCAAACTGATTTAGTCATTATTATTATTATTATTATTATTATTATTATTATTATTATTATTGTTATTGTTATTGTCATTTAGTACAAAGATGCTGCCAGGTCAGCCACCCGTGCCATACAGAATAACTTCCTAGACAGTAGCAAGCAGGAAGCTATAGACATGCTGCTCCTAGGCAGCACTATGAGAAGTGAGCTGGCAGACAAAGCCAGGGCATTTCTGGCCACAAATGACATGCACTGTAAGTAGAGCACATCTGTTCACATAGCTAAGTGGTTTGCTGTAAATGAAGGGTCATTTTGGTGCATCTTTGTTAAAAGCATTGTGTGATGTGTGATAATGCACATCTGGCTCTTTGTAAGATATGGAACATTTTCCTGGAAAATCTAGTTAATTTACACAAACAGAAATTTTGACCCACAGCAATGACAAATGTGTCCAAATATTTAAATTTTAGCATTTTAAATTAATTTCAATTTATTTGGTTATGGTAGACTTAGCCAATGCTCATCAGTGAGCCAAATTATTGAACTGGAAGTGAGAAGCTTGTCATAGTGTCCTGTTTTCATGCTACAGATAAACGGATGTTTATATTGCATTATGAAAAATATATGAGTAACTGATAGAGACAAAATTTGTGTAAATCTTTGTTATTCTTTTCGCTAGTATCTCATACCATGCTAAAGGAAATGGTGGTGCGTCATGAAGAGTACACCAAGCCTTCCAGTCTACGTATCAGTGTGGGAACCTGGAATGTCAATGGACAGCCTCGCTTTAGGAGTATCGCCCACAAAAATGAGTCCCTAGAAGACTGGTTATTGGATGCACCTAAGATCACAAAGTCTAACAGGCCTGGTGTGTTATATCAAATGTTAAACACTGGAAATCTTAAATTATTGCCGAGTCCTCTTATGTTTACCTACCAATTTGAAGGTGACTCGTCATATTTTTGAAACATTCTCCTAACTCATTTATTTCTGTGCATACATTTACATTAATGGTCTCCATTTTTGATATGAAATCATGTTCCAACTGGAAAGTTATAAATTTAAACTTGTATTTAGCATTTCAAATAACAAATCCATTAATCAATCTTTTATTCATATTCCAGATCTTATAGACGAATCTGTTGATTATGATTATCCTGTAGATATATTTGCCATAGGCTTTGAAGAAATTGTGGATTTGAATGCCAGTAATATCATGAGTGCAAGGTAAGTGCTGATCTTTACAAAACATGCATGCCTTTCTGAGTTTCATGAAGAATAAAATTCATTTTATTATTTTCTTCCATTCCATTATCTAAGTATTTTATTTATTTTAATTACAATGTTCTGTTTCTTATTTCAAACAAATAGCAAAATCAAATATTTAAAGATTTAGTCCATGAGCCACTGTAGATCACCCCTTTTGCTATTTTCAGTCATTATGTTTTACTGATAGCTTAGATTGTAAGCTTTTATTTAATTTTTATTATAAGAAAGAAAATATAAGATAAGAAGATAAGTGACTCTTGATCTGATTAACATTGTTTTAAATTCTAAAGAACAGTTTGTGATAGAATTTGACAAGGTGTGCATACATCATGGTATCAGGCATATGAACTATTCTGCTGTTGTTTTCAGTACAAGTAATCAGAGAGAATGGAGTGCAGAAATTCAGAAGACAATCTCTAGAGACCACAAGTATGTGCTCCTCACCTCAGCACAGCTGGTTGGCGTCTGTCTCTTCATTTTCATCAGACCTCAGCATGCTCCTTATATTAGGTAAGATGGCAGGGATGTATGATTGTTTGGGTAAAGTAATTTTGGTCTCAATTTTGGATTGCAGGTCATAGTATTAAGCGATTTGTTGATCTAAATTCTAGATTTTAATTCTTTGTTTCGCTTGAATTTGGACGAGCTTTGGAAAATCTTTAATGCATTATTTTTCAATATGGGATTAAAACAACTGATTTCACATTTGTAGTATTCGAGAGTAGACACTGTAAGTTGGTGCAGGTATGTAATATGACACACAAGTATCTGAATATCAATATATTTGTTACCCTGTAGGGATGTAGCAGTAGACACTATTAAGACTGGCCTGGGTGGGGCTGCAGGGAACAAAGGGGCCATAGCCATCCGATTCCTCTACCATTCCACTTCCTTGTGCTTCGTGTGTGCTCACTTTGCTGCTGGCCAGAGCCAGGTACAGGACAGGAACAACCATTACTTTGACATTATCAGGAAGGTGGTCTTTCCTATGGTAGGTTTTTTTTTTTTTCTTAAAAATTTAGCCTGAAGTGCGAACAAGGATACAAGGATGCCACAACTCTCTCACAGGCGCACATTCACACCTATTGTACACAATCCTGTGATTTTCTTTCATCAGCTTGTTTGAGTGAATCCAAAAAAAAAGTTTGAAATGAATGTATATGCTGACAACATTTGAAACAAAGTTATTTAGAATGTCTTCATTACTTTTAAATACTTGATAGTGATCTTAAGTGTGTTTTACAGTGTCATGGTATATATTTGTGATGTAAAATTATGTTATTCATAAATTTAACTTTTTTTAATGTTTAGGAGGTGTGCAGGGTAGGTATAAGACTATATGTTGAAAATAGGTTAACAGAAGTTTTCAGTGAATAGTGAAACCAAAATGTGTATTATTTCAGTTAACCTACAAGTAATGCATGTTAAAAAGTGCTGTATTTATTTACCCTTTTAGTTTTTCATGTTTTATGTGTATTATAAATTTGTGTTTCTGTCACATCCTAAGTGGTTTAATCATCTCGTTTTGGTTCATTTTTAATAGCTAAATAGTGATGGAATAATGGCTTGTAGAACTACTGTCTCTGGCTTGTCTGGGGTGCACTCGAATCCAAAAATAATGAGCATCTTGTAAATTTAGTTATTTTTTTCATTCTGACACAAAATGGTTTCTCTGAAATTTTGTTTGCTTGATCACAAACTGATAGAAATTCAATACTGAAATGCAGGTTTATGATTTTGAAGACAATGTAGATGAGGTGAATGGCAGTTGATTTGGATTTTGTTTATTATCACTTGCTACACTGATATCAGCACATGCAAATTTTACAACACTAGGGAGTACATTTGTTGATTACTCACAGCATACCACTGATTTAAGATTAACAAAATACTTTATCTTTTACAAGGGCAGAATGATTTACTAATGATTGGTAAACTGTAGCTTTACTAAACGTTATTTTGAATGATAATCATGGCAATATTTCTCTTGTGAATTTTAGGCCAGGACTCTAGATTCCCATGATTATGTCTTCTGGTGTGGAGATTTCAACTACAGAATTGAACTGCCACGAGAAGAAGTTCTTAGCTTAGTGAATGACGAGAACTGGGGAGCACTGCAAGCCTGTGATCAGTTGATAGTCCAAAGAGAATTAGGAAACGTAAGATACAGAAAATCATCTCAGTTTGAGATAATTTTAAGCTTATGCAAAAATGTAGTCTGAATTTAGTCATATATGAAAACATTTAAATTGATGGTTTTATAAAGTTTGATTCAATGTTCTTTGTTAAAAGTTGGAAAAGGGAAAAATTGATTAATCGTTGCAGGTATTTAAAGGGTATAATGAGGGCAAGCCAAACTTTGCCCCTACCTACAAGTATGACTTGTACTGTGATGACTACGACACCAGTGAAAAGTGTAGAGTGCCTGCTTGGACAGACAGGATACTGTGGAAGAAGAGAAAGTGGCAGAAAGGTGATCCCCCCCCCCCCCTCCAACATACTGCTTACTACACAATTAATGTTTGGTGGTAGTTGTAACTTCATGTGCACCATATGACAACACTAACATGTACATGATAAAAAACACTTAAGTTACATTTTTGAATTCGATAGATTGTTTCAGTAAAAGGGTATGTGTAAAAACACTTAGCATTGTTGATAGATGTTTTACATAAACTGGAAACTTATGAATGATACATTTGTTATGAAGCTGAATCAATAATTGTTGCCTCCATTTTAGATGAAGATCCAACAGCAAATTCAGGAAAGGTTTTACTATACAACAGAGCAGAACTGAAGGTGTCAGACCACAGGTAAACATAAGGATGCCCTGTTCAATTTATATAGCTAGAGTGCCAGTTTAAAATTCAAACTAGGTGTGCATTATGCCAGACTGTGATAACAAAATGTGGCAAAATTTGTCATGAAAACCACATAATACTAGAAAATATAAAAGATAAGGTTTTTATAGAGACTTTCAGTGGGATTCTTTTTCTTCAAAACTCCTATTTTCTGAAGACAACCTGTGCTTACATCCCACATATGACATGATTATGCAATGAAAATTAGTAAGCCTGCTCAAAAGTTATAGGTAAAAATCAAGAGTGAGCAGGCCACATAGAATGATTGTGATCATATGTCAGGAAATATTTGAAGATCCCAAGAACCTATTTTGTTGATTAATGAACTTATTGTTTTAAAGCCATAATATCACATTATAATCAAATTGAAATAAGTACACATTTACATGTACATATTCTAGGCCTGTAATTGCTCTACTGGATATAGAAGTTCTGGCTGTGGATGAGAAGAGGAGGGAAGAGATCTATAAGAATGTGATCAGTAACCAAGGTCCCCCTGATGGTACTGTGGTGATCAGCATGGCAGATGGGGGCGAGTTTGATGACCAGTCAGTGGACGATGTCCTCAACTTGGTGGCTGAGGCGGGAGAGGTCATTTTGGTCAGGTGAGTTTAATGATGATTGATAGTGGTTTGAGCAGTAGAAATAATAAGAATATTGCCAGGCAGTCAGTTATGTTTCAGTCTAATGGTGAGGGAGTTTATTATTGAAATTTGACCTCAATTTTGTGGCAGTATGATCGAATAACTTATAGAATTGATTTTGTAAGGTATCAGCATAGAGTATTTTAACACATAACCTTACCAGTATCATTTTTGTTGGGCTGTTGTCATCTAAAATAGAGGTGTATTTTAATTTTAATACGAATAGATGGTGATAATCTTTAAAAATTACCTATATTATTTTCTTTATGTTTAGATTTGTTGGAGATGACATGTTGCTCACATTCAAAAATGGGAAAAATGCTCTAAGTGCTCTAAAATATGACCAGTTCACAGTAAGTTTTCATTTAACCATTTAACACCAAGTTATCTATATTGGTTTAAATGGTATAAATACCTAAAGCATTGTAATGGTTTAAAAAAATTCAAGGTGACAGCTTTGAAATATATTGTATTCTAGTGTTGGTGAACTTGTGTAGTGTTGATAAGAAAGAGAATAATGTTCCGCTTTTATTTATTTATTTATTTATTTATTTATTTATTTATTTATTTATTTATATCTGTTTATTTATTTATTTATTTATTTATTTATTTATTTATTTATTTATTGTCATTTCAGGTGCAAGGCAAAGTCATCAGTGTAATGCTGAAGACTCAAGACTGGCAGGCTAAGATAGAGAGAGAGGTGGACCTCAGTACTGACCACACCTTTGAGTTGGTGGACCTCAGAAACACAAACAGCTTATTGCTGGAGGATTTTAATATTCCAACTATGTTGTTTGATATGGAAGGTAATTGAGAACACAGGGAGGCAGTTGTTTCATATTGGAGGAAAGCTTGTCTGGTTTAATTGTGCATGTTATCATTTCCATTATAAAGTGACAAGATGAAAGGTCTTTTCACTCTTAATGTTAACAAATATAGAACAGTGGATATTGTAAAGATCAAGGTTAATAAAACACAATGTATTTATAAGTTATACGATTTAATATATTTGTGGTATGACTGCAAACAATGGAATAGTAAATTCCAATTATTATCGTTCTGATTATTCTACTTTCTTTCTTTCTTTATTTTTTTTGTTGATGTAGGTGACATAGCTGAGGATGAGGGTGATGAAGAGGTAGCATCATTCAATTTGCAGAATCTCCAGCAGCCCTTACAGCCCTCTCCAGCAGGCACTCCTACAGCAGGTAACATGTTCAAGAAAAGGACAAAATGTTCTGTACATATATTTGTACAGTGTATTATGGCCTTTATGATAACCATACACAGATAGGGATGTTGTAACCCAAATATTTCCAGAGGTACACCCCACAACCTTTTACTACATTTTGGTGTTTGATGTGCTAGTATGTTTAGTGTGATTGGTGTTATTCCAATCATGTAACACACAGACAAACTATTTTTCAGATAATAACAGCCCAGCAGATATTTTTGGTTCTAATACTCAGATTAAAATGCCACCTCCTAGACCCATGGGTGCTCCACCAGTCCCCAGGGGGGTGGCAAATAAGCCAACAGGGACTCCTCCCCCTGATGCTGGGTCTGATATGACAGGCGGAATTGTGGCTGAATTTGAACAGCCACTGCGTAGTTCTCCAAAACCAACAGAGGTAAGCAACCATTTTAGAATGATACACTGTAAGCTATGTATCTTTGAGAATGGTAGTTTTCGTGTGTTAAGTTCTGTGAATGAGTCTAACAGTGTTGTAAAGCAAGTATCAAAAAGTAGAACCTTTTTCTCCTTAATTGAGAGCTGTTGATAAAAGAACAAACTATCTGCAGTACCATGTAAAAATTGAAAAAAAAGCAATCATTTTAGTCTTATTGATTAATAATAGTTGTTTACCTTGCAATTCAAGTAAATATACCAAGTATTAATTAAATTTTCATTTGGATTTAATATTTGCAGAAGCCCAAAAAGCCCCCTCCTCCCCAGAGGCCGTCTGCTCCCCCCTCCAGACCCCCACAGCCTCAGAGGCCCCCCATGGCACCCCAAGTAACAGGGCCAGCTAAAGGTGAAAACGGATTTCATTGAATATAAATTGTATGAAGTTGTTTGTAGTTTTCTAGGAAGATATATTTTATATGTAACTCTAAGCCATTGCTCAGTTAAGGATTTGGTTTTCTTCTTTTGGCTTTTTAAAGAATATTTAATTATATTTTCTAGCAGTTCCAGCAAAAGCCAAGCCACCAATGAGGCCTCAAATGATGCCCAAATCTGAGAGACCCTCGAGAGTAAGTGTGATACAGTCATAATTTATGATGGGATTAACCAGTGATTTTATGGTGACAATTTGCATTGTATAATGTTTAAAGATGTCCAATTGTAATCCTGATCCATTTATTTTAAAGTAAAGGTTTGGGTTTCAATTTGAAACAAGTCTTTTCATGTTTTCAGCAATTTCTGAACATTTAACTTCAATAAACAATGAAAAAACAAAGTTTGAAGTAATTTAGTACTGATGTCCTTTTCTAGCCCAGCATGATAGGCCTGCCTACCAATGTTTCTCATGCTGGACATGCCACCACTGTGGAGGAGGCTCAGAAATTAATAGAAAAACTAATGGCTCAAAGCTCCATTGACATGGGTGACCTCCCTGAGCCTTTATTGCCAGGGGCAGGGGCAGCTCCAGGTGAGTTCTCGTTTCTATGTTTGTTTTTAATGAAATGACAAAGCATTGAAACTTTTGAGTAGGTTTTTTTTTTTTTTTTTTTTTTGTCTGATGGCTACTGTTTTACATAAAAATGCTATTTAGAATTTTTACTTTATTTTATTTATTTATTTATTTATTTATTTATTGTAAGTGCTTGCATTGTGTATTAAGTATTTGCATTTGAGGTCACTTAGTCATATTTCTCCTTATTTTTTACTATTATCATATAATGATTTCCCCCTAGCACCAATGCCAAGAACAAAAGCAGCCAGTACATACGACTTATCAATGGACAGTAGCCCTTCAGTGCCACAGGCTGCACCAAGACATAAACCAGATGGGCTGCTAGCAGAATCACATGGGTTATCAAAAAGTACAGGGAATTTAATTGCTGATGATAATATAGAACAAGACAAATATAAAATAGTCACCAATGAAGTAGAGTCCAGCCTTAAAGTGGATTGGGGTGCAGCAAAGACAAAGGAGTCCGAGAAAGAAGCTGGGAAACCAACACCTGTTCCACGCCGAGAAATACACAGTATGTTTGTTGGGAAGAGCAGTCCATCTCCACCATTACCTCAACCAAGAACTAGTGCAATTAATATAGCACCCCGAGGACCCCCTCCCCCAGTACCTGAGCCAGCAGGGAGGGGGCCACCACCACCCGTACCTGCAGCAAGAACATCTAAAAGCCCAGACACTTCCCCCACTTCCCAGGCCTCTTCCACAAGGGGGCCACCACCCCCGGTTCCACCCTCTAGACCCTCGAAAGAAGAGAGCCGAGGACCTCCGCCTCCTGTCCCTACAACAAGACCTATGAGACAGGACCTGCCTTCAGGAACCCCCGTTTCTGAGCAGTTGGGTTCCCCTGGGATGAGCCCCCCTCCTACCCCTCCCCTGGGCAGTCCAGGGAGTCCACCCCCTCCTCCCCCTAACAGGACAGACTCCATTTCCCCTCCAGATAGCCCCAATCACTTTGACTTTGGGCAGAGAAGTGAGGGTGGCTCGGCACCTCCACCAGCTGTACCACCACCCATACCACAAAGACCTGGCATGGAGCCTGGACAGATGGGCACAGAGGAGAAGCCATTTGTACCACCTATACCACGTAGGCCTAATGTTGCTCCAATGGATAGGCCCGCATGAATTTAGTACATAAATATATAAGAAAAGAATTTTATGTGTAGAAAGATCTTGCAACAAGGGTAGTTATCTGTTTTCATAATAGATTGGCGTATCTTGTGAAATCTTAAATCTGGAACTATGTCAGAATAACCTGTACTCGTAAGGAAATGAATGCACTTTTTGATGTTTGTTGTATGCTTTTTCATTGCTAGACACAAAAGATAAATGATAATGATTTAATTTATTGGAACTGTGTGACTGGTATGAATACTAATCAGATTTGGAAATCTCAGTCTTTTTATTATTTTTACAACTGTTATGGTGTCCTTTGTTTATGTTGCTGTTTATGTTGTTTGTTCACAAAAAAAGAGAGGAGCACATACAAAGTTTTACATGCTCCATATAAAACATAAATCCAATGCTGGAGATTATGTATCAAAATGACATTAGGTATGTGTTGCCAGCATTAATGTATTTACAAGATGTCTGATATAAATTGTAATGGAATATATTGCATATGCTTATATATTGGGGGGGAAGTAAATTATTAAGGCATTATATAGCATTTAAATTTGGTCATTAGGCATGATAAATATTATCAATATTTAATATGTAATTGTTATGTTGAATGTCACTGGGATCAAGCAAGGTAGGAAAATTATGCATCTCTAGCAGAACCATTTATTTCTGTGATAAGGTAGAATATTATGTTGAGTAGATTATTGAGAATTATGCAATAATGAAGCTAGCTGGCTAGCGCATATGTGGTAATGATCCTTAAACTGTGAAATAAAGAATGTATAAACCATACTTGAAGGTAACTTTTTAATTGTTAAAGAAATAGCCGGATTCCATATACAGTTAATTCAAAAATGCATTACTTTGGCCCATGTCACTTGTTTTACAATTTTTTAAAAAGCTGACAAGAATAACACATTTTACATACAAGCTTAACATGACATACAGCTCATTGTTATATATAACTAAAAATTTATGAACATTTCTGGGACAGGATGTCATGTCTTTTACATGATGTTCATGCCATATTTTAAAACTTTTGTCAATAACTGTTGACAGTGTCAGAAATGTCACAATTGAAAACTCCATGATAAACTGTAGTAGTATTCATGATAGTTGAGCAGACTGAAGAATACAGTCTTGCTGCTAAATTACATCATTTAGAAAATTGAAAACTCATTTTGGACAATTGGGTTGACATCATGTAAACATGGTGAATTTATTGAAATAAAATACGATTTTACCCTACATTGAAAAAAGGCTTCATTATGCAGCTTTGAATAAGAATAAGAAAAAGTGGATGGTAAAGACAAAAAATATCGACGACATGAATTTTTGCCCTTTTGGCCGCCCATAGTAACATGAGCATACGCAAGCATGTCAGTTTATTGTATTGTAGGCCTACTGTTTCTCTTACATTACCTATAAACAATGTTGGTCACAGATATAAATAACTTGGATTCAAAATGGCACTGTTTAAATCAGTAGAAAGAGTAATTTAAGAAAGTAAAAATGAACTTGCAAGCCTCTCGTTGCCCTCGCAATAATAATATTAATGATAATATTTATTTATAGTCTAAAATCCATACAAAAATTTCTGTGAACTTTACATGGGTAAAATGAACAGAATAATATGAATGAATTCAATAAATATATAGGTAGTTAAGATATTAAGATATTTTAATATCTTTTAAAATGTATAGTACAATGTAAATAAATACATGGATAGTAAAATTTAAGATATTAAAATAGAAAGTCATTGTAAAAAGATAACAGCCAGTCAAATCAGTTATAAAACTTTTTAAAAATAAATTTTTCAATTCTTTTTTAAAATTGTCCTCAGAGAATGTTCCATTCATTTGGTCCATACACTGAAAGAGCTAGGCCGCTGTATGTTCTCAATCTGGCATTACATGACATGAGCAAAAACTGATCAAGTGATCTTAAACTACGTTTTGGAACATAATGATGAACTAGTCTTTGTGGGGGGGGGGGGGGGGGGCTGATTGGTAAAAGATTACATGCATAAAGCATAAAGTTAAAAATTTGAATAAATGCGTGCTCTAACAGGGTGCCAGTGCAACTGCTTTAAGATAAGTGTGATATGAGTCTCCCTGGCTGTGCGGGTTAAAAGACGCGCTGAAATATTCTAAATTCTCTGCAATTTATTATTATTATTATTATTATTATTATTATTATTATTCGTTCTTCGGTACAGCCATAGAGTAGAATAACGGTAGTCTAAATGAGAAGTAATCATCGCATGAACAACTGTTGCAGCAGAAGATTAATCCAGGTAGTTTCTAATGTTAAACATATAGGATTGAGTGGTATTTGATATTTTTTTATCCATGGAGAGAGTGGGATCAAAGTAGACACCCAGGTTTTCTACGTTTGGTAATGGGTTCACAACACTGGCGCCTACTGGTAATTCAAGTTGTAGATTCTGTGCTTGTTATGTGGTTGTGTAATTAATAAAAACTCAGTCTTCTCATCATTTATTTTCAGTTTGTTGCTGATGACCACCAATATCATCCACATAGTTCGTATTTTATTTCTATAATTATATAGTGGCTATGCCCTGCTCTGTACAACCATAAAAATATTCAATATATTACAAAGAATGTCAGAAAATATGGTGAAGATACGAAATAGAGAAAAATCCCTGTGCTCAGAACTTTTCTTTGTAACTGTAGTGATCTATGTCATACCCCTTAAAGATAGAGCTAAGTAATTATTTACTTTCTTTAAAAATGGTGATAGGAGAGATCTGCCTAAATTCAAAAAGTACTTTTAACAGAACTTTTTCGACGCAAACTGGTGAAGGTAATCATCAACAATCTCCTAAAACACAAGTCTGATCATAGCTTTATTTAAAACTTACTCCTATATACATTTATCTAACCCACTAAGACTGTCTTTAAAATCAAAATACTTGCATTGAAAACAACATTATTTAAGACCAAAGGTCAGGTGGCAAACGAAACAGTTACTAGAATTTAAAAATTATCCGATATTGTCTAAAATGATGTTGTTAGAACTGGATGACAATGCATGATGAAAACTTGCAATGATCCGCAAAGACGTGATGTTTCAGTAAAATTCTATGCAACAAGAACCATCTTTGAAAGCAATACAAAAGTGACACAAAACATGGGGGATTCGCACTGTTGTGCAGTAGACAAGAATTTGATGTTAATGCAGAAAACAACAAGAATGTGGACAATACAAATTGTGGATAAATTGTCAGCTTTTTATCTCTACAAGGTAGTTTAATTACCACGCTTGTATGGCAGTATTCCATCTCTCTCTCTCTCTCTTTCTCTCAAGCTTCTTAAAAACCATTAAGTGTGCACAAAATGATTTATACTGTTCAATATCTACACAATAAGCTAAAAAACGTACCTGAGAACTTTCGACCCAACACTTGGGACTTCATCAGCCACACTGAAGTTACATGGCAGTGTATAGTGACCAGTTTAGTGAGAACTGTTCGCTATAACACTGTCCCAGATATGAGAGTGGTTGTACCTTCCCCGTCCTTGTTTNGGGGGGGTGCTGATTGGTAAAAGATTACATGCATAAAGTTGAAAATTTGAATAAATGCGTGCTCTAACAGGGTGCCAGTGCAACTGCTTTAAAATAAGTGTGATACGAGTCTCCCTGGCTGTGCGGGTTAAAAGACGCGCTGAAATATTCTGAATTCTCTGCAATTTATTATTATTATTATTATTATTATTATTATTCGTTCTTCGGTACAGCCATAGAGTAGAATAACGGTAGTCTAAATGAGAAGTAATCATCGCATGAACAACTGTTGCCGCAGAAGATTAATCCAGGTAGTTTCTAATAGCACCCATGTTTCTAATGTTAAACATATAGGATTGAGTGGTATTTGATATTTTTTTATCCATGGAGAGAGCGGAATCAGGTTAGACACCCAGGTTTTCTACGTTTGGTAATGGGTTCACAACACTGGCGCCTACTGGTAATTCAAGTTGTAGATTCTGTGCTTGTTATGTGGTTGTGTAATTAATAAAAACTCGGTCTTCTCGTCATTTATTTTCAGTTTGTTGCTGATGACCACCAATATCACCCACATAGTTCGTATTTTATTTCTATAATTATATAGTGGCTATGCCCTGCTCTGTACAACCATAAAAATATTCAATATACTACAAAGAATATCAGAAAATATGGTGAAGAAACGACATAGAGAAAAATCCCTGTGCTCAGAACTTTTCTTTGTAACTGTAGTGATCTATGTCATACCCCTTAAAGATAGAGCAAAGTAATTATTTACTTTCTTTAAAAATGGTGATAGGAGAGATCTGCCTAAATTCAAAAAGTACTTTTAGCAGACATTTTTCGACGCAAACTGGTGAAGGTAATCATCAACAATCTCCTAAAACACAAGTCTGATCATAGCTTTATTTAAAACTTACTCCTATATACATTTATCTAACCCACTAAGACTGTCTTTAAAATCAAAATACTTGCATTGAAAACTACATTATTTAAGACCAAAGGTCAGGTGGCAAACGACACAGTTACTAGAATTTAAAAATCATCCGATATTGTCTAAAATGATGTTGTTAGGACTGGATGACAATGCATGATGAAAACTTGCAATGATCCGCAAAGACGTGATGTTTCAGTAAAATTCTATGCAACAAGAACCATCTTTGAAAGCAATACAAAAGTGACACAAAACATGGGGGAATCGCACTGTTGTGCAGTAGACAAGAATTTGATGTTAATCTAAGATCTGTTTATTAGATCTTAGTGTTAATGCAGAAAACAACAAGAATGTGGACTATACAAAATGTGGATAAATTCTGTCAGCTTTTTATCTCTAGTTTAATTACCACGCTTGTATGGCAGTATTCCATCTCTCTCTCTCTCTCTCTCTCTCTCTCTCTCAAGCTTCTTAAAAACCATTAAGTGTGCACAAAATGATTTATACTGTTCAATATCTACACAATAAGCTAAAAAACGTACCTGAGAACTTTCGACCCAACACTTGGGACTTCATCAGCCACACTGAAGTTACATGACAGTGTATAGTGACCAGTTTAGTGAGAACTGTTCACTATAACACTGTCCCAGATATGGGAGANAAAAAAAAAACACACTGGGCCACTGCAACTCTAAAAATCCACAGAGTATCGTCTTTATAATCGCTCAATCTTTCACTAAAATAAAAGCATAGGCCTATTGTTTTCGAGATGATATATTTTTAATCAGATGCAATTTCACAATGTCATAATAATAATAATAACAACAACAACAACAACAACAACTAAACATTTTGGGCTGATCTAACAATTATAACCACAGCTAAACAATCATAATTTTATCCGCAACGTGACGTTCAAATGTGACGTCATGCATTACATAAACTATACGCTACGTTGCATTCACGACGTTTGGCATTTATCTAATATTGGCTAGTTTCCAAATATTGACGTCAGTTGGTGACGTTACTTGGCATATTGCCAGTATTTTTGTTTTGGCAACAGACCTAAGCACGTCATTTTTCAAAAATTTTGAAACTCGGCAGAACAAAGAATCAACTAATCTATTGATGTTCAGAATAGCGGTTTTTATTTTATGAAATTATTACTATTATCTAAACTATTTTGTATTTGATAAATATGTACAAAATTGATGGTAAATCCAAAGACTACTTTGTTTTTCGGATATCGTCAAGACAACCAACAGATCATTACG